CCGCTCGGCTTGGCAGTCTGCAGCCCTCCCCAGCCCCAGCTCCCAGCACAGGCCATGCCTCCAGCGCAGCCACCGACAACTCTGACCAGGACACATCCTCCTCCTCCCAGGCCAGCCATGCTGGAGACAGCGTGCTCACACCCCGCACAGCCCAGGTAGCCGCTGCCCAGCCTACCCATCTGCTCTGGGAAGTGGGGTGGGAACCTCCAGCAGTGGGGAAGAGCCTCTGCTCTCACAGCTCTTCTCAGCTGCCTCTTTGTACATCTGTCTCCACTCTCAGTTTCTCCTTCCAGCTCATGAGAAGGCAGCAGAAACACGTTTCTCCAGAGATTACCACTGCATAGATTAACATCCTCCCCCCACCCTCCAAGAACCTCACACTGTTTGAAGACCTTCAGGGCCTGAATCCCAAGCCCCAGACATCAGCTGGGACCAGTTTGGCTCCAGTCTCTGCCACCAGACCTCAGCATCCCTCCATACACAGTGTGTCAAGTAGCCCCAGGCCAGGGCTGCAAAAAGGCAACTCTTTGCTGGGGAGCCCATTTTTTTTTAACACTGATAAATGTTAATAAGTTAATTGTCAAAGTAAGCTAGGGGAGTTGTCTCGACTTTGTGCAGCCACCACCCCAGAGGCTCAATGCAATCTGGAGACCTCTTTGTGACCTAGCGTTTACGCCTTCAGGTGCAACTGCCTGGCTGCTGTGGTAGCAGGACAAGGCTCCCACATCACCTATGGACAAGTCTGCTGGCAATAAGGATGTAACTGTGAAATGGGTGCCAGGCTGCTTTATCAGGGCACCACCTTTCCAGAGCTGAGCTTGGTGGGTGGAAAAGGAGGTAGGGAGCTATTAGGTTTAAAGTAGAGTATGTGGAGAGGTGGAGGAAGAACTTCCAGGATACCTGCTCCAGGATAAGATCCTTTTTTGGGGGAGCCGGCTCTGTCACTGCGAGGTGGCTCAGAAATCTCTGCAGCTCCACCAGGTTGGGCAGCTGGTCGATGAGGGGGTCTGTCAGGAACACTCCGAGCTA